ACTCTCTCTAAACTGCAGTGAGCCTCGTCATTTTTGTCTTTTTAATCCTTAATTATTATTAATTCCTAATGTGGAACTTGGATCCGATGAGTGCTAGTTAGCGATAGCCGAACACTATGGGTGACATCACACTCCCTTAGTCCACTTCTGTATACAGTCTATGCTCTTTTTACATCTGGTGGAGGTGTAGAATAAATAAAACAACAGCATTAGCCACTTGTATAATATATCAATAGCGGCTCTCTCAAAGAAGTTACCACTTAGTTACCTACTTTTTGTGCCTTCTATTATCTTACATAAATTTAGGAAGTGTTCATCAAAGCTAAAACACCACTTGCTGTTAAGCTACCAGTCAGGTATGAACAGCTTTAGGTTACGTCAAACGGTTCTTTAGGAGATAAACAAAGCCAAATTAAATATAAAGCTAATGGCCCTAATGTATATATGTTTATTAGTGAGCCTGTGAGGGGGGAGATGAAAGGGCCCATTCTCTGCTGATGACAGATAGCACTGAGCAGGGCATGGGCCGATGTCTGCAGATAACACCGACAGCCAATCAGGAGCCAGATACACACTACTTATGATATATTGTATACTCAGATTTTCATAGCAAATATAGTGAAGTATTATTACTACTAATGAGTTGGTACAAGACTATATGAACTGTGTGCATATATTTTGAGTTGTACACTTGCCTAAAATTATATTACAATAACATTAATGATACAAAGACCTGCAGGTGGTTGTTCTGGCACCATGTAATACCATGAATGACCACTACAGGGTTCCCACTCTTTTTCACTGACAAAATTTCAAAAATTTTCCATGACTTTTTCATGACATAAAGTGAATTTTCCATGACTTTACGGCACCCTACATGTGTAGAATTGATCAAACTTTTAGGCTAAATATGAAATGTTAACCTTTTCCACTCACCTTATGGTTTGGTATTATAGTTTTTTAACATTTAAAATACTGTCAATGCATTTATTGTCGTCTCTTTTAAACAAAAGGCGCATATGTTTGGAAATAATCATAATAGTCTAATGAGACCTTAACAGAACACCGCAGTTGTGTGAAAGAGATACTAAAATTTCCATGACTTTTCCAGAACTTTCATTGAATCTACAAAATTCCATGACTTTTCCAGGCATGGAAAATGACATTGTTAATTCAATTTCCATGACTTTTCCAGGTTTTCCATGACCATGAGAACCCTGCCACTGCTGAAACATGCAGATCTAACAAGTACTTAATAATTCACAAAATCAGTGTAATAGCCAGAGAGAAATCTAAACCTAGATCACAAGTTAACACGTTTTACGTTTTACGGCATAATTCTTTCATTTATTTATTTATTTGAATTCGGAAAATGCATACTTAGCAATGTTTCAGCAAGCAGCTTCATCATGAATATGCCACAGTCAGCACAACAGCTAAATTTCATCTGATAATAATGTTTTTATTTGTAGTAGACCTAAACACTGGGATGAAAAAACACATGTGGGACTGGGTTTCCAGAGCTGTCATTGGTTAAGCAGTGTCATGTGACCTCCTGGTAACAGTTAAACATTGTAGGCATATAAAGAAGTGGACATGTAAAGGAGAGTGGCGTCACCAGTCAAACGAGGCTCACAAGTCTAGCGGTTATAGGGGCCAATTTGGAACCATGTTCAATATTAGGAATTGGAATTTATTTACAGGATAAAATAGCAAAATAAAAACACCAGGACCATGTAGAGCGAGTTAATACAAACATTTTAAGACCAAAATGATGAAGCTCACTGCGCACAATATTTCAGTGTAAAGTCAATTGGAAACAGAGTTGATGAAGCCGGAAGCGCCCCCATGTTCACTTCCTATTTGGAACGTGGTGGCTAGCGTATTAGTCTAAGTTTATTGCCAAGTCATTCACGTAGTAGCCACATCTTGCACCGTTCACAAGACTTCCAGCTTCCAGTGAGACAGAGAAACCTGGCAGGCCCTGATGTCATCCCCCTGAAACAAAGAGCCACAGGAGGCCACAGACAGGGGCTGACAGGTCAAAGGCCACATGTTCCTGGAAAAAGAGAGCTGCGCTAATGTTTTGTAGCTAACAGCCGCGACAGGCCAAGACGCCGTGACGACAGGACAGTCTCTTAAAACAAACAATCCCCACTTGAGGTTTCACTGCGACTGCGCTGTAAACCCACGGAAACAGTTAAAGGAGTTTTATAAAGTGCTCAAGTTTCACTCAAAGAAAAAACAAAAAATACTGTTGCTAATGGTCACGTACAGGCAAATAATGTGAGCAACTGTGAATTTTAAAGGTCCACTGTGTAACTTTTCTAGTGGAAGGTTCGCCATCTGCTCGTCTCCATGGTGAAGTTATTGCTTTGCCTGTGATACTCCACAATATGGCATTAAACATATACACAGTTTATATTTATTCAATTACCAGTGTTTTGACTTCTTAGAATTACAGCAAAAACACAGTTAACAGGCCCACTTTTCCACAGATCTGACCTGTAACTTGGCCTAGTGACGTTTTCTGCTGGTCTTCATGGAGATAGTTAAATAAAGAGGGGGTATTATACTTCTATATCATATTTTTGAAAATGCTAAACTCACTTTAACGTGTTTTAATAGGTTTCACTTTTGTTTTCTGATGTTCTAAGCCCCCTCTCTCTTTGCTCTCCGCGCTAAGTCACTCCCCCTTCAGCGTGCTACCACAGCATAATCATGTGTATTTCGCTATTAAAACTGCTGCACATCAGGTTTGCGAAGTTGTAGTGCATTGTTTAGTATCGCGCTTTTGTATACTTAACGAAAACTGTTGAAGGCTTGTGGGCGGAGCATTGGACAGAGTTGTACTACTAACTGTAAGGAGGGTTTGAATGGTGCCTGGGAGAAATTGCTAAATTACTTAAACATGCATGGATGAAAAATATAAAACCTCTTCAGACATGTTTTTGATGAGGGGACAATATTATAACAAGGTAGATAAGCTCTAAAAAGTCTATTTGCATAATAACCCCTCTTTGAAATAAAATGCTACTGGCACAGCAAATTAATTACTACTACTTTCTAAAAGAACTACAACTCCCATGACAAAATTGTACCTGCAGACTCCTATAATCTACTGTTATTAGTAAGGTATAAACACCAAAACTACTGCACTACCAGTACTTTTACAAATTACAACATAAAATGCCTACTAGTGTTATTGCTATAAATACAAGACTACTAGTACGACTACACTATAATAATAATGATAATGCAGTACCATAATTCTAAGTATTACTATTTGCACTATTAATGCAACTAAAGTATATAGCTGACAGTTTCTGAAGTTAGTCAAATGTACCTCAAACTTATTCAGGTTGCCTATATTTATCTAGAAAATATTTACTTAATAATTCATAATCTTAAAGACATACTAGGCTACAGTTCTATCATCAAATCTTTTTCACAGAGAAAGGTCCCTGCTGGCTGGTCTCACCACACCTCTGGCTCAGGACGTCTTGAGGTGTGGGCTCTGTCTGCTCCTGATAAGATCCATCAAACAGGAACCCTAATCTACTGTATACACAAATATTGGCCTATACTAGCGAAGCACACGAGGTCACGGGACTGAACAGTGTAAAGGTAAGGTAAATGTTACTGAACACAAAGTCACAGCCGCTGACAGTCAAGAGGTTTCAGCAGGCTGGTACAGTATATAGTAATTCAAGTACACTTAAAGGTCCTATACTATGTAGAAATGTACTCTTGTGAGCTTTAAGCCATGTTAGAATGCTGTTACCACCTCAAAAACATACCTGGAGTTGAATCATTCACCTGTTTGTAAAACCCTTTTATTATTATTCTGTCTACATCTCCAAAGCTCAAAATGCTTTCTTCCATCTTGTGATGCCCTGAAGTTTTTGAGAGAAGAACTCCTAAATATGCAGGATTTGTGTGTAAAACATGTGAATGAGACACAACTATGGATATGTTTTTGATGAAAATCAGGTACAATGTCATTAATTGCCATAATAAAGCAACATACAAAAAAAACCAAAAACTTACTCATAACCCTCTTAATCAGTTACTAAGCCTGAATCACTCTTTATAAACAATAAACAATTTGTTCATTATGAAATAAGTCTTTGTTAATGCTTTACAACTCAAGACTCAAGCCATTCCTATAATTGCATTCTCTCTACCATCACAATGCCATTTCAACTATGTGTCTCCATCTTCCTCCACCCCATAAACAAAGCAGCAGCAGAACCAGCAGCCCCCTCAGCCTCTCCATCTCTTCCAGATTGAACCACCAAGTTTGAACATTAAACTTGATAGCAATAAATAAAACCTGACAGTGACCATAATGACATATCTCCTCCTTTTTACACCATATGTTGACAGTAGACCTTCCAGAGGAAATATTTTGAAACCTTCCAGAGGAAATACTTAGAAGGAATGGACCATTTCAGCACCAACTGAAACAACAGGAACACAACAGATCTCTTCTCTTACTCTGCGTGAGAGGCCTTTCCTGTTGTGTTCACCTGGCTCCCCCTGGACACTGCTGTGATGCCCTTCCTCTCCTCAAACTGCCCTGACACAGACCCTGGCCACTTTAGACTGAGACACAAAGGCGACTGAGAAGCACAGTGGAAAAGTTTCTGCAGCAAAACCTGAATTTCTGTTAAGATCAATAAAGTATTTTTCTATTTTCCTTCACTGTGATACATTAGAACTGTGCAGTTAATCTAATAAGTTTTGCTTCACAATAAGACGGTTCCAGCTTCAACTCCTGGCTTGTCTGGGCCTTTCTGTGTGGAGTTGCCTGTTCTTTGTGTATCTGGGTGGGTTTTCTCCAATTTCCTTCATCAACCCAAAAAGAAATACTTTTTTGGGGCATATTATTAGCCCTACATCATGTCTACAATTACTTCTAGCCAACATAGATTAGAGTATCCATGATTTATTATGACACCACAACACATACTGTATGACAAATCATGTGTTCTTACCAGGCACACACAGGTGATGCAGGGGTTATCAGTGATGTTAGGGATGTGCAACACTTCTCCTTCATTTTCACAGCTCGCCTCCGTACCTGCAGACGAGAAGAAAAACATATAAAATTTTCTAATCTAGATGAGAAGCTGGACGCGCCCCAGTCTGAAGCAGCAGACGTGACTTCATGCCTTAAATAAACTGTACTGATAAGGACACTAGCGCCAGGAGCCAGTCTTCTCAAACGTGCATGTGTGGTAGCTGTATTTGTTAAGCTCATTAGCCTTTGACATGTACGGATGGAACAGTGTTAGTGCAGTGTTTCAGAGCGTCCTACTTAGATAAAGGGAAGAATTTGTTTTGTAAGTGACGACTGTCCACAAATATTGGATCAACCTTTGAGCCTCACTAAAGAGCAGATTTATGGTGCAATGGTGTGCTCCGTAAATGCTCGCAGTTTTCGAGTAACAGACCTCTATTTAAAAATCTATTCCATTATCTATTTGCTTGGATAACATATCTGTAAAAAAACTAACCTAGCATTGTACTAACAGTCACTATTAGGGATGTAACAATGTCCAAATCTTTCGGTACGATATTATCACGACATGTATCTCACGGTACAATATTTATTGAGATATTTGGGAGAGGATAGGACACCTTTTTGCTTTTAAAATACGTTGACAAATTTTGGTGTGAATTATTTCTGTCATAATCCCAAGAATTCATGTAAAAAACATATCTTCATGTTTTCTGCACTGAAATGAATCATGGGATATGTAGTTCCCTATGTTTATAAGCTGTTGTTACTATAAAACCATCCATTTAAACAAAGGAACTTGTGATTCGATATATTGTTACATCCTACGATATTGTTGTGAGACTTTTGACGATACGATATCACGATATTTTGGTTATTGTTACATCCCTTGTCACTATAGAAATGATTAGTTTTATAATTCTTTTGTTTTGCTATTTAATTTTTCGTGGTTTATCTATTTAACTTCTAACAATGAATATTTTCTTTGAGTCCTTCGGGAAGACCCTTTGCCTATAACAAAGTGGCTGCGGTTACACACTCACCAAAATTGAATTACTATCATCTAACACATTATTTGCTCTCGGCAGCACAAAAAAAACCATATTGAAGCTGAGGTAGGTTTCACTTTCACTTAGAGTTGTGGACCAAAACAGTGAAACAATACGTACAAGTCCATGGTCCATTACTGCTGATCTAAAACCAGTGTAGTAAATATCAAAACAGTGAATATCTAACGTTTTCCTCGCTGTTTTTTACCCCATGGAGTTGAATGCTTCTCCTGGATTAAACACTAATGTAAAACGGACACATGGACTTCGCCAGATGTGTTATTGAGATCTGGAAGAATCAAATACCTCAACTGTACTTAGTATCGAAATTGAGTTTGAAATATTAGTATCGTGACAACATTATGTACATTACGCCAGGACAATCCATTATACCATTTCCATAAAATTTAATCTGACTATTTAAAAGCATGTCACTAACACTCAAAAAACAATCTCTGAACCAGCTTATCCCGGTCCTCATAACACTGTGTAAAACAGCCCTCTTTCTTATAAACGTCTCAAACAGAGAGGAATTGAGATGATTATAAGAAAGAGGGTGAGCCTTTGGTACAGTTAGATGTCTATAAAACATAAGCCACCGTGCATATATTAGAGCACAAAGTTGGGCTTCAAAATGTTACATGTTATTCAGCACAATACATATAATTCAGAAATCCCTTGGCAAGCTACTTGGAAGGTTGGAGACTGCTGGTGTAAAACATGTATGACAGGTGAGGTGACCAGTGCGGTGACAGGTGAGGGGACAGGTGAGGGTTAGGGTTAGAGTTTTTTTTACTATGTATTTGAGAAAAATTAGCCATGCCCCAGTACAGACATATTGTATAAGCAAGTCTGCTGTTTGCTGTTTGCATCTAATTATAAAGAGTTTCATTGTGAGATCATCAGGATGTGTTAGCATGCTAGTTGTTGTTATCTTTAGCTCTGCTCTGGCCTCGAGGAATTGTAAAAAGTGCTTATAAACTCATCGCAGTAAATAATTAGGATGCTCAATATGCAAAGGTAAGTAGTGAATAACTTGAGGTGACAGGTGAGAAGACAGGTGATGTGGCAGGTGAGGGGACAAGTGAGGTGAGACCCTGTATCCAATTTTTACCATGTATTTGTGCAAAAATAGTCATGCCCCAGTACAAATTTTTTTTGTATAACCAGCTCTTGAGGTCAAAATAAGATAAGTGATGACTAATTTAAGGTGACGGGTGAAGCAACAGGTGAAATGCCAGGTGAGGTGACAGGTGAGTCTCACGTCCGCCTCTTTAACCCGATCTCCAAAGCACCACACTGCGCCTTTGTTATGATCCGCTCCCTCCGTACATCTAAAGACACTTAAACTCCTGCAGTCAGTCAGTAAAATGTAACATGACCCCAGCAGAGGAAACTATCTCGAAACACACTTTATGATCCAGACTAAAGCCACATGTGGACAGGGGCAGACGCTACGGAAGACCCTCTCCATGAGGATGTGTAAGGGGGGCCAAGGGGGTCAATAGTGTTTGGGATAGGACACAAAAGCTTCCTTCCTGTAGCTTCAGTTGTGTTGGAGAAGAGGGGTCATGGGAGGTAACAAGAGTCATAAAACTTTGCTATGGCGATCTGTCAAAAGTTAGGATGGAGACAATGTAAACAATGTAGTTCAACGAAAGAAGAAAGGGGAAGACGAAATCCAGAGACGGTGGATTTGACGAAATGAGGTAGTGCATGAATTATTACCGCAATAGTGACTGCTAGAAAGTATGAAGGTACTGCAAGTGGTACAAAAATATGAAGTTAAATGAAAGAAACAAAATAAGAAATGCAATCAATTTGATGATTTAAAGATGCACTGTGCAACTTTTTTTTGGTCCTTGTCTCCATGGAGATGCCATTGCTTTACCTAGAAAGCTCCACAAAGATATTAAACCTATCTATCTACCATGTAAAAAAAAAAATGGGTCACCTCTCCACAGATCTGATTTGTAGCTTGACCTGGTGGCATCTCCCGCTTGTCTCCAAGTTTAAACCTAATAACGGACTGTGGAACATTCCAGACTAAGCAATAACATCACCTTGGAGACAAGACACTATGTACAGAGCATCTTTAAGTAAGGTTGGGGTTCACAGTTGTCCTGGTTTGGTTCCATTTTAGTCTTGATGTAGACTTGGTTTGGTTCTAGTCTAGTCCAAGTTTAGTTCAAGGTTTAGTCATTTTTTTTAACATTGACGTGAACGCTCTCGTCCCAATTTTAGTCTGAATTTTACTCCTATTTTTTTTTTTACATGGAAGTGAACACTCTTGTCCCAATATTCGTCCTAATTTTAGTCCCAATTTTATTTTTTTATATGGAAGTGATCACTGTCGTCCCAATTTTAGTCCCAACTTTAGTCCCAATTTATTTTACATGGAAGTGAACACTCTCATTCCATTTTTAGTCCCAGTTTTTTATTTTAACATGGAAGTGAGCACTCTCGTCTCAATTTTAATCCCCCCCCCTTTTTTTTTTTTTTTTTTACATGGAAGTGAACACTCTCGTCTCAGTTTTAGTCCTATTTTTAGTCCAAATTTAAGTTTTTTTTTTTTTTTTTTTTTTTTACATGGAAGTACTCGAACACTCTTGAATATTATAAATTGAAAAGTAAAATTTTAAATGCTCCATCAAAATTCAACTTCACACATATTTAAAACTAGTGAAAGAGACTAAACCAGGTCCACAGAAAAGACTGCATTTGTGGCTTGCATCTTTTATCCTTATTAATCAGATGTTTTTGATCAGAAATACATTATCTTTTTGATTTGGTTAGTACATTACATTATAAGACGTTTGACCAGTATACAATCTCTTATCTTTAAACCTTTATGCCTGTCAGTCAAGACTCAGGGCACCAGTAAACGTCTCCAGACTACCCCTGCTCTGAGGAGTCGTAGTAACTTGTGCTGTTAATCATCGCTCATAAATGTCTAAACAATCTAAGATAAGCAGTCGTTTGGTATAAAAACAACACAGGACCCTACCCCAGCCCACCTTAGGGACCTGTCTCATTGTTATGGAAACCAGACACACCCAAATGAGGTCTAATTTGAATCCCAATACTGCAGTTAGCATCCACACGCCTCATTAGAACCTTCTAGATTTACATAGAAATACTAACTAGAATAATTACGTAAATGCACATTTTAACTAACTTGTTATGTATATCATGCTCCAGTTACAGATTGTATTGTATTATATGAGCAGCTCTTGTGGTAAAAATATACCAGCTAATTATGAAGCATTTTATTGTCCTATAATATAATCAAGAAGTGTGTATGAGCACGGTAGTTGTTGTTGTCGGATTTACAGTGATGGCGAAACTCATTGTGGTGAATTATTAGGATGCTCAGAATTCATAAGGTAAGTGAGGAGAAACTTGAGATTTTTTGGGGCATTTTTTCATGTTTTAAGACAGTAAAAATCTGATAAAGCTCACATAAGAACAATTCCTTTTCAAATGACATAGTACAAATTTGGTAGCCAGGCTGGCGCCACCTAGTGCCTCCGCTCAATTTCATTTTTCTCCAGCGACTAGGTCAGGAATCGGAATACACTAGAAGGTTTGGAAAAACCCTGAAGTGCGAGTTCGGGCACCAGCCAATCAGTGAAGAGCCGTATATTCTGTGTTGGCAATGATTCCCGAGATCGAGGATTTAACGCTGGAACAAAGAGAATGTTTGGGAAATTTTATCAAGGGGAAAGACGTTATTGCCCTTCTTCCTATTTTGGATTTTGGAAAAGCTTAATATACCAGTTAGCCCCGTTAGCGACACATTACATATGTCACGACCAAATAGCAGCGATTGGTCAAATGAAAAAAAGTACCCGCCTACCTATTCTAACGCTGCAAGGTCAGACAGTTTCTACAAAGTGAATCAGGCTACAAATTCCAAGAAGAAGATAGAAAAGCAGTGAATAGAGAACTAAGTAATAATAAAATAAAGCTGTGTCTTATGCTATTTTGATCTATAGATATGCTATTTTGATATTTACAGTATAGGCAAGTTGGATGATAATGCAACACTGTATATAAATATGACCAAGTGATTTTAAAGGTGCACTATGTAACATTTCTGATGGAATATAATGGTTATGCTGCATGCTTTTCTCCATGGACATGTTATAGCTTTGCCTGGAATATTCCACAGAATGGCATTGCACTTCTCTATCTCCATGGAGACAAGTGAAGTGACACCCCTACGCCAAGTTACAGGTCAGATCTGTGGAGAGGGGACCCCGCTCACATTAAAACTGCATGTTTTTCATATGCATTTCTAATAGGAATGTAACAATATCCGAAATATCATGATGTCGTATCATTAAAAGTCTCACAATATATTGAATTACAAGTTCCTTTGCATAAATGCGTGGTTTTATAGTAGCAACAGCTTATAAACATTGGGAACTACATATCCCATGATTCATTTCAGTGCAAACAACATGAAGAAATATGTTTTTGACTTGAATTCTTGGGATTATGATGAAAATAATTCACACCAAACTCTTATCAAGGTATTTTAAAAGCAGAAACGTGTCCTATCCACAATTATATCAGCCTCTCCAAAATATCGCAATAAATATCGTACCGTGAGATGCATATCGTGATAATATCATACAGAGAGATTTGGATATTGTTACATGTCTAATTTCTAACAATAAAACCGCCTGTAATGTGTGCAAGAGAGGCAAGCCACAAACCAAACTGTGGAACATTCCAGGCAAAACAATAACATCTCCATGGAGACAAGCAGATGGCAGACACTTCAACAGAAAAGTTACATAGTATGCCTTTAATTAAATGACAGTAAACTAAGAAACTAAAAATTCTAATAAGTGCTGCGTTATTTTACTTCTGCTTGTGATTGTAATCCAAATTTCATCACTTTCCTCTACTTGTGCCATCTTTCTTTTTTACCACGTCCCTTTAACGCACCACAAAACGCTTCGTAACTTAATGCAACATAACGGTTTATACACTGACTTTGACCTCCCGCGTGTATCATGTGAATTCTATAGGCCTATCCATGCTTTAGGACAACACGCTCTGCTCTATAATCAATGTTTTCTTTGTTGTGGCGATAGAGCGGCCACAAATCAGTCTGTACAAACCAATTTTAGTCCCGGTTTAGTCCTGGTTTAGATCTGCCGTAGTCAGAGTTAAAACTTGTTGAAATCCCGCTCTGGATAAAGTTTAATCCAGGTTTATTCCAGGTTTATTCCAGCGCTGCGTTCAGACATGCCCAATTTCTAATTAATTGTGGTTATTTTTGTCATTTCGGGTTAGCACGGGGTCAGATCTGGGTTAGTGCCTCACGAAAAACACATTCATAACAAAAAGGAAGTCGTATAGAATGAATATCCATGAAATATGCCTTTACGCGTAAAATTTGAGCTCTCCAGTGCGCGCGTAAAAAGCAGGACAGGAGCGGGGTGACAGACGAGACAGGTCCGAGTTTGGAGACACTCTGGGCGACAGGCAGACAGACAGACACACGGGGAGACAGGGAGACGCGCTGGCACCACGGAGACATTTTCATTTACAACTTTTAACCAAGAATCAATGGGACTGTTTTTACGCACGGGATGAGATTAGCGATTTGCGAATATCGACTCGATCAACACCATTTTTTCTGAGAATTGTGACAGCTTTACGCATTGATTCAAACAAATAACATTTTATTTGGTCCAATATTTTAATTATTAACCAGAAAATTAAATTGTAGTGATGTAACTTTTTAGTAAGATTCCTACTTATAGAAATATGACGTTTGTAATCTATTGATGGTTTTGTTGCATGGAACGTTTTTTGGGGGGACTTTTTTCTCACTCAAAACGATAAAATAGTTTGTTTTAAATTGTTAATCTCCATGGCAACGGTCCTAAATCATCACCCTGCAACCCGTGGGTAGGTTAATACAATTGGTGAGTATAAATATATAGTATTAACTAAACAAATTGACACTTGCTCTTAAATTTAATAACTATAACCAGGAGCATTTTAACAACTACTTAGACACTGCTTAATTAAATTGTTAATCACTATGGCAACGATCCCAAATCATCATCCTGCAACGCGTAGATAGTCTAGTACAATTTGTGGTAACATTTGAGTCTAAATATAAAATTAACATCACAAATTGGCCCTTGTAAAAACGTAAATGTAAAAACTATAGCCAAAAGCGTTTTAACAAGCAGCTTAAACAGACACTGCGCACAACTCCGTAGACTTACAAACTATTCTTTTACATATTACATCTCATATATTTGATTTAGATGAAGTTAACAGATAAAACGAGCTTTGAAGTGGCATAACGGCACGTACATTTAACCACCCCACCCTTTAACTCATTTACGCACATGAAAGTGGCCGAGCGCAGCCCCCCGAAAAAACGCCAGTCTTAATTATTATACTAGCTGTTCACGCTGCTGCAAAGTTTCCGGATCGGTGCCCACATCACAAACTTGACAGCGCCTTTTATTTGAGTCAAACGCCACAGAAGCCCGAGCCTGCGCTGCTAAGTGCCGGGGACTGAGCGAGTGTCTGGCCTTTATAGTGAAGAGTAGATTAAAAAGCCATGTTTGCAACGTTACCTGTAATTAGCCCGGAGGAGGAGTGCGTCGTTTGGAGCAGCAGCACGCACCACAGCACGAGCCTACAGGTGGACGGCAACATCCTCGCGACTTGAAGAAGAAATAAAAAAAAATAGATGAAAAAATAAAATAAAAACAGAAGTGTCCAGAGGTGTTTTAGAAGATGTCGCGTCGCATTGTCGTAAGTTCACAGACAGCCAGTCGGAGTCACATTAGAATGACAAAAGCGCGCAGACACGTAGGAGACAGCGGCATGTCGCGCTCTTGAACCGGGCTGTCCGGAGATGAAAGCGCACGTGAAAGTATGGAAACAGTCCCGGAGACGTTGGCGAGCTGTGACTTCTCCAAAACGAGACACCGAATGAAGAAACCAACACACAACAGCTGTATCCGCGTAAGGACTGAGGTATTTTATCGCCAAAAGTCCCCGTACGCTCCGTGGACGCCGCGCCGTGGATGCGTCGTGGAGCGGTGCGCGCGTCAGTAGTGTCCTCCGCTCGCTGGTGTTCTCCACTCACAGTGCCACAGTCAGTCCAGAGGCAGAGGAGCGCAACAGAGCCAGAAGTCCTGCCTCCTACATGTGCGCGATCCGGGACCTCCCCCTGTACGGCTGCAGCGCGCGGAGCTTCCAGACCGAGCCCCCTCCGGCGGCAGCGCAGCCAGCGAGTGAACTGCGTCTACGGGCAGGAGCGCACTTTCGGTCCTGTCCTGCTGTAGCTACAAGAGAGAGAGAGAAAGAGAGAGAGAGTTGGGAGAGAACGAGGGAGGAGTGGTGCGTTCGCAAGTGTTCAAGTGCGAGAGGAGGGAGAGTGGTTTTATTACCCAAGGGGACTTTTAAGGGCCGTTACGCAGTACGCTGACTAGCCTATCATGCAATAAACAATAGTGCATATTGTCTGCTAATCCCTTCGTCGTCCAGGTTGGGTCGATTGCAAAAGAAAATTGAATTTTGGACAAAACTGGACAAAAGCTTTTAAGAGTTTATACTTTCGACATTTATTTAAGATGATTCTTCAGTCTAGGGCTGTAGTCGACTAAAGAAATTCTTATTTGACTAAAAAAGCTCTCAAAACCATTATGTGTCTCTATAAATCTGACCCAAACTACAACTCCATCAGAGTTCATGTCAAAATAAGTATTTGTGAAGGAAAAACACTGGGTGCACTATGTAACTTTTTGGTTGAGGGTCCGTCAGCTGCTTGTTTCTATGGATATGTCATTGCTATGCCTGGAATGTTCCACAGTACGACATTAAACAGCTCTTCTTTACATTTATTCACTTACAGGTGGATTTATAGCTCAAAAATACATAGAAAAACAGGCATTCTGACAGTGAGTGGGGTCGCCTCTCCCCAGATCTGATCTGTAACTTGGTCTGGTTTGGTCTCCATGAAGATAAAAAGGTTTTACCTTATACTATGAAACATTCCGAAGCAATAACATATCCATGGAGAAAAGCATTTCACAAACCCTTCACCAGAAAAGATACACATTGCAGAACTGAAGAAGTTACTTGGGTGAGTGGTGAGATATAAGATATTTAGTCTGAAAAACATTTGACAGAATTAAATTTTATTTTGTTAGTATTTTATAATTTTGTTTATTGAAGAACTATGTAATCCAGATTTATCTCCCTCGTTGTTGAGAAGAGCTACTGAATTCATAATGATTCAGTGCCAATGGAAAGTTAAACACTGACAATGTCACCAAAAATGCTAAAAGTATATTTGTAAAATCCAAACTACTCATCAAGGATACTGCTTATGACAGTGTATCAAAGAAACTAAAAAGAGATGAAACACTAGAATGCAAGAAGATAAGAAATATTAGCGTACTTAAAGGTGCACGGTGTTTGTCAGGCTGGTGCCACCTAGTGTCTCCACTCAATTTCATTTCTCTTCAGCAACTAGGTCAGGAATCGGAATACACTAGATGGTTTGCAAGGACTCTGGAAGTGCGAGTCCGGGCACCAACCAATCAGTGAAGAGCCATACATTCGGTGTTGGCAACGATTCCCAAGATCGAGGATTTAAAGCCCGAACAAAGAGACTGTGTGGTGAATTTTATCAAGGGAAAGACGTTATTGCCCTCACAACCAAACAGCAGCGATTAGTTAAATAAAAAAAGTACCCGTCTACCGTCAAGCGAACGAATTCTAACGCTACGAGGTCAGACGGTTTCCACAAAGTGAAACTGGTTGCTGAATCAGGCTAGATAAGAGCTATAAGAGCTACTGAATTCACAATAATCCGTTGCTTATGGAAAGTTAAACACTCATAATGTCACCAAAATGTAAAAAAAAATATTCCCAAAATCCAATGTAGTCACCATGGATACCGCTTATGACAGTTTATCAAAGAGAAAAAACACTAGGATTGCACACTTGAAGTTATGAAGACAATAAATATCAGCATACTTAAAGGTGCACGGTGTAGCTTTTGTGGCGGAGGGTTGTCTCCATGGAGATGTAATTGTTTTGCCTGGTATGTTCTACAGCATCTATTTCCATGGTGACAGGCAAGTAATACTACCAGGCCTAGTTACAGGTCAGATCTGTGGAGATGTTACCCCGCTTACAGTATAAATACCTATAAGCAATAAAATCACCTGTAACTGTATTAAAACTAAGATTTAAGTTTAATGTCATACTATGGAACATTCATGGCAAAGCAATATCATCTCCAACATAAAAGTTACACACTGCCCCTTTAAATGCTGTGTTCTTATGATATCTTCTTGTTGCAGACGGCATAGATACAACAAGGATTTGGCGTATTTATCTTAAAGTCATGGATAGTTTGTGTGTTCACAATATTCCTTAAAACGTGCGAAATCTAACCGCAAACCCAGATTACGCACTGCGCCACGTTTTCATGGACAATTTATACTGTTTCACCAGAGGATCCTTCAAGTTATTTCCTGTTACACACAAATGACAAGATGATTCCTCAAACCACCGCGCTAATCCCATGCGTTTGAATACGAGTGTCAAAGTCTATTCACCTAAACAAACAATGACGAAGAAAATCAAATAGTAAAAAAAAAAAAAAGTATAGAAAAACTGTCAGACTGTCAAATCAAGAGGCAATTATGTAACTTGCCACCTGCTTGTTGCCTGGAATGTTCCACAGTATATCATTAAACGCACGGAGACAAGTATTAGGTGACGCTACCAAGCCAAATTATTGGTCAGATCTGTGGAGAGGCAAATCCGCTCTCAGTAAAAATAAAATAATAAAGATAGAGAAGTTTATGCTGACACTTTAAGCCAGGGGTCACTTTTTTTTTCTCTGGGGGCCACATTATCGCTCCTGACTGTGATGGGGGTCGGGGTCGTTTAACAGAATTTTATGACCCAGACCAAAATGACACCAGCAGGTCTCACTGTGTAGAAGAAATTACTAACCTGGCACAGCCCTCCACAATTCTATATCAACACATCATTCCTGGCACATATTTGTTTAACGTTACCAGTGGTTTGCAAAAGTAGTAAGTACTTCATACTTTGGTTTAATTTGAAATACCACTGATATTCCATTTATTGTACCAACTGCACTACAGTACTCTGCACGTGTGTTGACTGTCACTGTTTGATCTTGAGCTTGTCATGTGACAAAAATTTGGGGTCAAATGTAAATATGTCAGTGAATAATTTAAATATAAATATAAATACTTAAATATAATTCTTTAATTTAAAAAAAGAAAAAAGCAAGATGCATGTTATTATTTGCCAAAAAGTAATAAAAAATGTTGTTACCTACTCAAAAACATACCTGAAGTTGTATTTTGTTTCATTCATAAATGTTTCAGTAATCCTTTATTATTAGTGTATTTACCTCCAAAGATCACACTGCTCTGTTCGACGAAATGTCATGTCATCAAGTGAACGTTAACAGTGACCTTTTACCTTTTGTTCAGTAGAGATTGGCAATTCCAGGGTTTAAATTATCCAAATGATTCTAGTGAAGGTGTATGGAGTTTAAAAACCAGGCTTCCCACTCTTTTTCACTGACAAAATTTCAAAACTTTTCCATGTCTTTTTCATGACCTAAAGTGAATTTTCTACATGTGTAGAATTGATCATACTTTTAGGGCTAAATATGAAATGTTAACCCTTTCCACTCACTTTATGTTTTGGTATTATAGTTTTTAACATTTGAAATACTGTCAGTGCATTTATTGTCGTCTCTTTTAAACAAAAGGCACAGGCGTTCAGAAATAATCATAATAGCCTCATGAGAACTTAACAGAACGCTGTAGCTGTGTGAAAGAGATCCTAAAATTCCTTGACTGTTCCAAAACTTTCATTGAACTTACAAAATTCAGTGACTTTACCAGGCCTGGAAAATGACACTTTAAATTTCCATAACTTTTCTAGAATTTCCATGACTGTGAGAACCCTGAAAATCACAGAGAACAACTCACCGTAAATATGCAGGGTTTGTATGTTTGTGTGAATGAAACAAAACACAACTCCAGGTAACAACATTACAACACCGATCAGAAAATAGCGTAATATGGGCGTAGTATTTCACGGTGTACTTGTGTGGCAGACGGTATAATGAGGTGGTCGGGCTGGAGCTGCGGAGCCCTTTAAAACCTTAACAGGGGTCAGAGGTCGGAGCTGACAGGGCAGGGGGTCCTCCAGGGGACAGTGACGGGCCCTCGTACACTTTACAGCCCCACACAGACATTGTTCACATCACTGCCTTCATTTTACTGTAACGAGACCAGAGTCAACACACGGGGTCAGGACGCACTGTACACTTGGTGCTATGGGGTCTCGTATAATGCTAAATTTGAATATTGATTGATTTGGGGACAGCAGATTAAAATGGCAAGTTTCCTTACATAAATAAATCAAAATGTGGTGCAGAGAAGTTAAATAAAAGCAGAAAAAACGATAAACCTGAAGTAGTTTTGTGACTTAGCTACATCTCACAGCGCCACAAAATTGAAATTATAAATTGTTTTTTTTGTGAATTTTTGAGAACAGCTTTAAGATTAAAAATTATAATTCAGATATGATTTAGATTTGATTTATCCAGACTGCACCATGGTGTTGCTTGTGTTTTGCAAAACCTGCCCATAGAGGCAACTCCTAGCGTTTTGTAGCCATGGCGACGAGGGTTAAGTCTACCGCATACAGTGACGAAAGATTTATGTTGACAATATTAAATTATTTAAACATTTGTGTGCGATTTAGTTTGATCCTTTGAAAATACCAGATATTACTCTTTAAAGGTACACCGTGTAATTGTTATGGTGAAAGGTCCGTCAAATGCTTTTCTCCATGGAGACGTAATTTGCTTTTGGAATGTTTCACAGTATCGTATTAAACCGTTCATCTTCATGGAAACCGAACCAGACCAAGTTACTGGTAAGATCTGTGGAGAGGTGATCATGCTCACAGTCAGAATACATGTTTTTCTAGGTTTTTTTGAGCTACAAAACCACCTGTAATTGAATAAATGTAATGCGGATCTGTTTAAAGTCATACTGTGGAACATTCTAAGCAGAACAATGACATATCCATAGAAACAAGCACGTAAAGTTACACAGTACACCATTAACGTGTCCTTCCAATTACACTAACTTCAAAATGTAAATTACAGATGTCAAGTACAGACAGTTTCTCTTACAATTACTCTTACCTAATTAATTATATTTTT